AACACTTGACAAATTGGAGCGTGTCAGTAAGTTACAGGAACCAAGGAAAGCGACGATAAGGAGAAAACCAGAACAAAACGCATGAAAAAAAAATATTTCGTCTACGCCCTTACGCACAATGCCTCTGATATAGTATAGACGCTTTGCAGCAGCTGTGCATGGACGCCGCCATAACTGACCTTCAGTTTTTGTTTCCTCTTATTTCGTTTATTTCACTTCATCATTACCATAGCAGGCCAGGTTATTGCCACATTAGATTCAACTGTGTCCTTTTCTAAAGCATCGGCATTTGTGGAGGATCGTCAACTACCGTTTCAGTTGCTCGGCATCTCGGTAAGACAAGAGAAGGTCAGCAATGGCAGCTGTAATTTGGCGCGTGTGTAAAGCGTCTATATATATATATATATATATATATATATATATAAAGCTTGTTTTCAAAATGTTTGGAAAGCATACGCTAAATTCTTGTAGTCGTTAAACGAGCTAATTACAAATAAAAACTGGAAATTGGCTTATGTTGACAATTAAAATGGACCATGAATTGATTTTACAACTTCTTCCTCATTATAGCTTTAATACTCAACTCAAAGGGAAATTAGAAGAATTTCGGGCACTACAAGAATGGAATTCGTTATATAATTAAGTAGCAACGCTTTCTTCTTTTGAGACAGTTACTGATGTTATTAGCGATATTTTTTAAATTGGGTAGTTTTTTGTGTTTATGTTCCTTTTTATGTGTATTTGTGCAGACCCCTCTTGTGAGCATATCCTTTTTTCCGTGTATTTTAACAACGTATACGTAACTCATGTCATTGCTCTCAATAGAGAGCGACAGTATTCCTAAATAAAATAAAACAGAAAAGAAATCACGTGGACGCTATATACTTGGGCATAGCCTCCTATATACTGTAAGTATAGAGGAGGCTATGGCTTGGGCATCGGACGTGATGACTGGAAGCTCCCACCGTGATTTTAAGCACACTATAGAACCTGTCATTCGCAATCAATGATAAGTGCCGTCATGGCACTCATTGGCCACGAACGCGAATTCAAATATTGGTCGACTGATTGATTGTTGGCAAGAGCTTACGCCCGAGTGACTCAGTGCTCGTGTCTAATGCGTGATCTGGGTTCGGCTGACGTTCCTTTTCACTGCGGGTGCATCACAGTGAAAAGGTGGAGACACTGGAGAGCTTTTGAAGGAAAGGAGACAAGAAATATTCCGTTGTGTTTTAAACTTAAAGCAGGCGGTTGGCTTTTTAAGCTCGTGCGCTAATTTTATTTTAGTCTGCTTAACGGTATGCGTTTAGAGAAACCCTGATCGGAAATCATTTATCCCAGTCCAAAATTCATTTCATGGTCCCTCTATCTTATCGCTAAATAAGAAAGAAGTCCCCGGCGCACGCGCTAACGTTCCTCAGAGGCAAAAAAGACTGAATCCAGAAGCGCCAAGGATGTCAGCGAAGAGCCCCAAGAACGCTCCGTTCACGCAGCTTGAGAAGAGCACTTTGAAATCTCCGATCAAGGGAGTCGTACCCGCTGTCTCTAAAGGGAAGAGCTCGGGCGTCGCCAGCCACAAGTTCAAGGAGAGCGCCTGGCAGGAGGTGTGCAAAGAGTTCAACGAGAGACACGGTGGCCCCTACCGGAACGTGAAACAGCTGCAGGAATGCTGGAGCCACCTCAAGACGAGCTCGACGTCCCCGGACCAGCAGCCCAAACAACTTTCATCTGGGAAAGGTAATGCTTTGAGTTATTCTTCTGAGTTCTTTGGGGGAAAAAACAGGCTGTATCCACAAGCCAACTCGTGGAGTTTTTGAGTTATGGACCCTTTTTGAAAGTCAAGTGACGATTATTAGAATGTCGGATCTAAAGTCGGAACCACATACAGCACAGTGGTGGACATAAGATGGCGACGAAATGGAATTCTAGGATTCCAGTTTCGGTGGTGTTATTTGTATCTGCCGTTGTGCACACTCTAAAAAATATCCCTTCTCGAAAGGTTCTTCGACGCTCAAGAACTCTTTCAGCTAGTGAAAAACGGTTTCGCCTCAAGCACTACCACCATCTTTAGTACAAGAAGCGCAACTGGCCGATGAAGAACCCTTTCGCATTAAAAAATAAGCTTAAAAGAACACCGTATAGGTTTTTTTAAGAAGAGCCCTTTTAGGGGGTGATTAAAATAACTTTTTAAGATGCAAAATATGGACAAGCCGAAGAACCCCAAAAGTTTCTTTAGCGACCTCATTTTTTGAAGCGCATGGATTCCCCAGCTTCCAGCAAATGGCAGATCCTTAAAAAAAAAAACTATTAATTTTTTTTTAAGACTACTTTTTCTCTTGAGTTAAAGCATGGTAGCTCCATTTTAAGCATTTCCGTTTCAAGACTGCAGGTTTTGCAATACCTACGAAATCGAATCTATGCACTCTGTTGAATGAAGGATAGGTCAAAATGGAGGAAATATGGGCAGATTGGAAGTGGGCCAAGGCTATTCGAAAGATGATCCCCCTAATTTTGTTACAAAAAAGAACAGACGAACAGACGTGAGCCAAAACTCGGAGACTTAGAGTCAGGCTAGATGTTCTGAAAACCTCGCCTACAGTACAGGGCAAACAATGAATATCCTCCGCTAGTAGGCACGACAAATACATCTTGCTGAAGAGTGTTCTGAAAATCACGCAAGCGTTGGCTTTTTTTCTTTTTTTTTCCCGTCGCACAAGGTTTTTTGGGCAGAAAGATATGACATGTTTTCAGCTGTTTCCGGTTGTTTTAAAGCGATTACGAAGTCCCCATGATGCGACTGTAGTTTGGTGGCTATACAGGGTGTTCGGTTTTAATTATATTAACTGAATAAAAACTAATTAAATGCTTTGAGTGACTTATTGGACTTGTCAAGATTGGCCGCATTTATAATGCCCCCCCACCCCTGACCGTATAAATCGCTTACACAATCCGAGTTGGCGTAACTTTTACGCATTCTTTAAATGAATCTGTTCGAATTGAAACTAGACACCCTGTATATACCATATACACTCTAAAAAAAGCCCGTGCGTCTTCTTTCCCGCACAACACTCGGAGAGCCAATCACCGCAACCTACGGAGACATCTCAGCCAATGGCGATGCCGAAACATACGTTTATACCAAAAAACGCACTTTGAGTTGTGACATTAAGCAATGCAAGCGTGACGTTTTGCATTGCTTAATGTCACAACTCAGTCTGCATTTTTTGTTCTAAACAGATGTTTCGGCATCGTCATTCGCTGAGCCGTCTCCGTAAGCTGCGGTGATTGGCTCTCCGAGTGTTGTGCGGGAAAGAAGACGCACGGGCTTTTTTAGAGTGTAGCCCGTTTCCAAGAGCAACCTCAACTTTTCTTGAGATACGGGATGCTGAAAAGCGGACGAACGCAAGTGAAAGACGTCACTTTCTTTTGTAAGAGAGCCATCCACGACAAAAGAAGGAGAAAAAAGCGAAGAGTGCATGTCAGTGAGGACAGGACGTTTCTAACTACTCTGGTCGGGAAAGACTATGTTTTCTAACATGCGTCACTGAAGAAAAAATATCGTGGCAAAAAAGAAAGAAAATCTCCCGTTTTCATTAGATCAATAAACTTTGATGGTGACTTTTTTTGAGCCTTCTTCCCAGGAACTTGTTACGTGAACGTCCTTTGTCGGTAAACGATATATCAACCACTACAATATTTCCGTGTCAAACGGTCGTTGCATATAAGCTTGAATACCATATCGATCTTTTCTCCCCTAGAAGAAGTTGCCAAACTTGGAGACATTGGCGAGCTCGTAAGTTCTGCTGACGTTTTTTACCCCGTTACTTCTATTACTCAAAGCCAACGTGAAACGGTCTGAATGCGGGAAGAGGGGGGGGGGGGTGCTTGCTTGGCAGTGGTGTTCTAATTCTATGAAAAATTATGTTCTAGTTGTCTTAGTTATTCTAGTTGTTCTAAAACTAAAACAGCTAGAGCTGTACTAGTTCTACGAAAAATAAGTTGCTCCACTAAAATCGGTAATAGGTTAAGAACCAAGTGGATGCTCCGCCCCCAGCACGCATTCGTTGCCTTTATTCGTGATTTTGTGGCGCGTGCGATGAATGATTATGAAAGGCAGGATGCTTGGATACGAGCATCTCCTGTGTTCATCCCTTGTTTTTAAGTATTGAACTAAGCTGTTTCCCCCCTTGCAACTCTTTCTTAGCGTTTTTTCAAGCCGGTGCTTTTAAAAAATGTGTCTATATTTATTATTTTTTGGTGTTGCAATCGGTCACGCCATTGATTTTTTTTAATTTTTTTTCATAGTTGGCAGGGATTGTCTTTTGAGAAGTTTCCGTACTTCACGTCCGGCAACTTCATCGCAACTTTAACATCAACGCAAGACCTTACGTTGGTCAGTTACTGATCAGAGCCGACATAAGTGATGGGCATACAGCCGCATATTGTACCACATATACAATATGTGGTACACAAACTACAAGGTAGCGAAATCTGGCATCAGTCATTCGGAAAAAAAGGTTTTGTCAGACTTGTCTTTTTATTGCGGTCCACGTTTTATTAAGGTACTTCACGCCTTCAGGGTAAAGGAAAAATTAAAGACGTCTATAAATCTCTGTAACGCGAAATTAGAGCGTAGCTCTTGAGGAGGGAAAGGTACGGAGGGGAAATATTCCCCTCCTTCTCCTTCTCCCCTGCTCCTCCTCCTCGTCCCTTCCCCTTCCATCCTCCTCTCTCCTCCTCCTTACATTTCCTCTTCCTCCAGGTGAAACCTTGTAAAACCTGGCTCAAATCTCCTGGAAAACCCTGGCACGCCAGTCTAAGGCTTCTATGGCGTCTTGATCGCCAGGTGCACATGCGAAAGCACTGTAGCATCATTATAATCGTCTTTAAAACCTATTCCTCGTGCAGCTAGTTACCAGTACCGTATATGACACAATAGTCACTCAAACTTTATTCCATGTACTTCTCCGGATGCGACGTTACAAGAACGCCGCTGTGTAATGCCATTCCGTCTTGACATCTGCCAGAATTCGAACACTGGCAGCAAAGCCAAGGAACGGATCTCTCCGAGACAGGCTGTAATTGCCAACGCTCCGTCGGCGACCCGGAGAGGGAAACCAGGGCCTCTGTGCTTCGATGACGGCAAGAGGCGTATCGACTTCGTGCTCGCCTTCGGCAAGGGCGGCGGTTCGGTGGCGGAGGACACGCGGAAGGTCTTCGAGCAGAACCTCCTTGAGGCCGGCCTGGAACTCGAGCGGGTGGACGGACACGTGCGTTGATTCTGTCGTCTCGTTTCAGTTTAGCCTTTTACTGGGTGCTAATTATCGACGATGTTTCAATCAATGTTCTTAAAATTGTCAGCTGGCTAGCTTTACGGAAGAACGTTGCCTCCTCCGTTGCCCGCACGCGAGGAGGTAAAGGGTATAGCGATCCTGGCGCCACCAGATGCCCTCACGGGTAACGGAGAATTATCGTTTTTGAACGACTTTCTTTTCGCGCAAAGTTTATGTTTACCCTTAAAACCTTGAGGGAATCACTTTCCATCACATTCCACCGTCTCGGTCTGTTCTTTCCATACGGACGGGCTGATAGCGTAGCCAGCGCTACCGAGCGGGCACACCACGAAAATGCGTCACGCGTTCTAAGAAGCTTTTCAACTGACCTTTATCTAGTAACGTTGGTTTCAGTGGAGATAACTTAGAGTTTCTACCTTTGACGTCACGGCCAGGATTTGCCTCATTGCTCGACGTCCTGGATACTTGCCACCAGTCGAACGCACTGTGCTTGATCGTGTGTGTAAATTCTACAGTGGAAGCTAGTGTTAAACTTGGAGTCATCGCTTGCTCGTCAAACTTGACGTTTCGATTGTAGTAAGGTGTGGAGATGGGCGAGTCACAGGATGATCAGCAAAATAAAAACAGCGCGAAAAATTAATACAAGGACAAGTAGAAGACACAGACAAAACACAGCGCAGACTAACGACTGTCGTCTTCTTCCAGAACAAAATAGATTGACACAAAAGAAGAAGAAATAATGAAAATAACCATTCAGGGCATTTTTGCATCACAATCACAGTCAAAAAGAGAGAAAAAACGTTGCAGGGCATTTTTTTTATCATAACCACACGCAGTCATGGTCACAGGAACGGTCACGGTCACAGTCACAGTCACAGTCACGTAAATGTGCCAGTCTGATTAATAGGAGAGAATTAACCATTAGAAAGGGTAATTGATTCTAACTGATACAAGCGTAACGTCTATAATGTCCAGTAAGAAAAGCCTCATGAATTTCTCTAGCGGTCTTATTGTTTGGCGAGTATATCAATATTATTCATTCGCGAAGTACAGCCCCATCTACTACAGTGTACAGCGAGATGTCCCGATGCAGCGCTCCGTAAAAAAACAGAGTGCTCACGAGCCTTCCCTTGACCTACCTAAGAACATGTGACATAAGACTACTTCTACACCCAGTTCTGATTCCATATACACATACTATTTCTCACAGGAATAAAAAGGTGGCAAATAAGTTCGATGTTCCGGTCGCCTTCTCCGCACCGTCAGAACTACATCTCTTATGCTCCGCAACTGAAAAAAATACATTGCAAAAACGTATGTTATGTGAAGTAAGACACCTTTATAACTGGTAAATATGTGGCGTGTGCCGTCGGTGTAGTTTACGAAATCCCTCTGTCTTGTGGAAAGATTTATACAAGACCGACAGGCTAGAGTCACTAAATAAAGCTACGCTTTCAGAGTACCGTATTTCTTTTTTTTTTTTTTTTTGACATTTTGCCGACCATACAGTCGCTCTATCCAACAATATTCTGGTTCGCTGCTGCATTATTATACGGCGGCAGTCACGTGAGTCGCTATCATCATCATCGCGTTTTCTCAACGCCACCATCTTGGGTCCAGCAGTCCTCTGCTTGCTGCTGTTCACTGTTTACTGCGCGCGCACGCTGAAGTTCGTCACTCAGCACGCCCGTTTTCCGTGTTAGGTCAAGATACGAACAATACGACCTCGATTCGCTGCCATAGCTGCGGCTGCGGCAGCTGGCGCAGGCGAGGGCTACAGCTCGGCTTGGCTCGGCTAGAGTCACTCTTTCGTCTTCGCGTGGACCCAAGATGGCGGCGCTTGACGTGTTTCAGGCGCGTAATTTTGGAGTTTCGGTACTCTGAAAGCGTAGCTTTATTCAGTGACTCTACGACAGGCAGATGTGCAAACGCCCGGGCTCATGATCACTCTCTTACTTTACATTTCGCTGCATCGGGACATTTCGTTGTACATTTTAATAGATGTGGCTGTACCCAGCAGTAAAATGATATTCAAATATTGGCCAAACATCACAATAAGACCGCTAGTGAAGTTTATAAGGTTTTTCTTATTGGACATTATGGACCTAACGTTTGTGTCAGAGAAAATTCTATTACCCTTTTTGATGATGAATTATATCTAATTAATGAAACTGACAGATTTATATGATCGTAACTGTAACTGTGACAGTGGCCGTGACCGTGACTGTGGCTGTGACTGTGGCTGTGATGAAAAAAAATGCTCGTTTTAGTATTTTCTCTCCTTCTGACTCTGACTGTGAATGATTGTGACTGTGATGAAAAAACTGTTCTTTCTAGTTTTTCAATCTTTCCGGTTGTGACTGACTTTAACTGTGACTGTGATGAAAAAATGTCGTGTATTTTTTTTTCTCTCTGTTTCTTCTTCTTTTGTGTCAATATATTTTGTTCTGAAAGAAAACTACAGTCGTAAGTCAATGCCGTGTTTGTTTGAGTCATCTAGTTGTCCTTGTGTTAATCTTCGCGCCGTTTTTATTTATCTCGACGTTTTCGACATTCCCCGTATTTCCTAGAAATGCCGCGCAGCCGCCCACCGGAACGCTTTTCGTCGTGCACGTCATCAGTTACTACCCACGACGTCACTACCAGCATTTTTCATTGGTAGTAGTAATGGAGCTGATCCTATAGAGTTCGATGGTGGATGTAAAGAGAAGAGTGAAAGTTTACAGTGAAAAGCATGCTCAATAGTAACACCGTCGAAGTTTCGTCACTACCCTTCTTCCTGTCAATTAAAACATAACAAACGCTACTAAAGATATCAAAGTGAGCTTTTGGGCAACTCCGTAGAGGCCGACTATATGCACGGAATCGGTCGCGCACCTCGCCGATAGAGGGTCGTTCGGTCTACAACATTCCGCGAAAGGATGTGTCTCAGCTTACATTCCTGTTGTTGGTGGTGTTTAATTGGTGCGCTCTTTCTTCGTTTTTCAAAGTGGGATGCACGTGTGTCTGTTGTGTTCACATCAAGAAGCATGATGAAAAAAGTCCGGCTCCTAGTGGAAAGTTACTCTTTTTTTTTCTTTCCCGTGTTGAATAATTTATGTATATATGTGGTTGTTTTCTAGATTAGCTTTATGTCATTGCATCAAGGCGTACACGTTTCAAGCGCCAAAATCATCGTTTCTTCCTTTAACAACCAAATCTTGTAAGGACTACGTCGCGTAACCGATGAACAATCCGTAAAACTTCATTTTTTCTCAATGTAATAACGAATATAGATACTTTTTATCAGAGAGGGGAGCGAGTTATCAAAAACAGCTAACCTAGGCAGCCGTGCCCGAATGTAAATGTAAGAGTCTAAAAAAGGACAGACATCTTAGTTATGTAGTCAAAGAAAAAAATATTGCATGCATCATTAGTGCTGATTTGCACGCATGCGTGGAAACGTGGCGTTTTGATCATCTGCGTAATTTCTCATCGTTGCAGGTGTCCGCCGCAGAAAAGATCACCTTTGTCAAAATCCACGCTCCTTGGGATGTGATCACGAAGTATGCAGAGATGCTCCACCTCATGATGCCGGTCAAGGTGGGCGTGTTTTTACGCAACCTTTGGATTTGGTCTACACAAACGACATCAGGGTTTCAAAGCACGAAGTTACCCAATGAGAGAAAAGCTTGAACTTAATCGTTGATATCCTACTCTCGTTGTAGATGCAGTACAAAGCTGTAGATTGACATTCGATATTGTTTTGTGTTAATATTTTTTTCGGGAAAAGGAATTTGTGCTACCAGACTCGATGATGATAGTACCCAAAGACCAAGAGAAGCCTTCTTACGATGCTAAAAGGGTAAGTGCCCTGAAAAAGAGTCTGAAGATAAAAAAACCGTAGAATTAAGGGCAGATTGAAATAAGTATTGTCAAAAGATAACGAAGAAAGATATTAAACGAAGTATTTCTTAAATAAAAATAATAAAAAATTGTTTTAAGATATATTTAAGAAACAAAGCAATGTGGCTAAAATCAAATCTGTTGAAACCGCATGATATTTATATTTGAAACCTATAAAACCAGGCAAACGCAACGAAGAGGTGAAAACAAGGAACTGTTGAGTTTTTCCTGTTGCCGTAGCAAAGCAGATACCACAAAGCGTTCACAATCTAGAGGTGTGCACGAAGGCGGAAGCGTTTCCTCCACTCTGCTGTGTTTAGCTCCAGGTGCTGAAGTACTCACGGCTTTCAGGAGAAGAGTAGAGGTAGAGAGTTAAAGAACGAATGGAGAAACTTTTGAAGAGATTTTCTGCAAAGCAGAAAACGATTACTATACGGTGTTAAGAATGGAACCTTCGGCGACCTTCTTCCGAGTTTCAACGCTGCGGAAACAAGTCAAGACGAGTCCGGGACCGTCGCCCGCTTGTCGGGACCGTCGCCCGCTTGTCGGGGCCTGCGCGAAACGAGTCCCGACGAGTCCGGGACCGTCGCCTGCGTGACGGGGCCTGCGGCAACAAGTCTCAACGCGCCCGTGACGTTGGCGGGACGTGTGTGTGTGTGCGTGGTGGTTGGTGCGCTCGGGAAAGGGAGAGAGGCATGGCCTAACTGCTGAGACCTTTGGCTACGTCACACTGGACGACGGGTTGCTGCATCGCACGGGCTGCCCTGGCAAGGAGTGAGGGAGAAACGGACCCTATATAAGGCGGAGCGCGAGGCTGCTCCGTTGTTCTCTCTTGGATTTGACGACTGTATCGCTACCATGTAATTAAACCGTTCATTACGTTACCAAGTCTCCCACCTCCACTGAACCCCTGGGTTCTTCACTTCGGGGATTGGACGTCGTCACGAGACAGGAAGCCTCCGGACGTGCGGCCTAAACCCCGCCTCGAACAACTGGTTGGCAGCGGTTGGGATCGGACCATGCGACATCGTGCTACATCTGTGGGTGAGCGTTTGGACTTTGCTTTGAGATTCGCCAGGCTTCAGATTATGGGTAATTAATTTTGAACTGCTGGGAATCCTTAGTGTTTGACTCGTGCGCTAGGTTTTTGTAGAACCTCGCGACAAGTTTTAGAACAAAGCCAAAGCTAAAAAGCAGCGATCATGGATCTAATGAGGTTACTGAGAACAGATTTACTCTGTTTATGTGAAGAATTGGGTGTGGAGGTGGAGCAAAAGATGAAGAAATCTGAGATCAGTAAAGCAATTTCAGTGAGCGCGGAAGCAGAGGATATTAAAATTGCGTGGGAATTACTTCAGAACGCTAAAAGTGAGGCTGCAGCAAGAGAGGAACGAGCGCAGGCTGCAGCAAGAGAGGAACGAGCGCAGGCTGCAGCGAAAGAGGAACGAGAACAGGAGCAGGCTGCAGCAAGAGAGGAACGAGCGCTAAAAAGGCTAGAGCTCGAAATTGAACAACAGCGATTAAACTCGCAGAACAGTAGAGTTGGGGCTCCTGTACGAGCAAGTGAGGCCGAGTCGTATCAAATGAAGAAGCTCCTGCAGCCGTTTAAAGTTGGGGAAGACGTGGGCCTATTCTTAGTTAACTTTGAGAGGACATGTGAGAAGTTGAGCTTCGCCCCAGAAACGTGGCCGCAACGGCTTTTGACTTTGTTGCCCTGTGAGGCTGCAGAGGTTGTCGCGCGCCTTAGTACTATAGACGCGGACGACTACGACAAGGTGAAGTCGAGCCTTTTGAAGCGGTATCGCCTTTCTGCCGAGGCGTTCCGTCAAAGGTTTAGAAACGCATCCAAAAAGAGCAGCGAGGGCTACTCGGAATTCGCGTACGCGCTTAAAACCAACTTGATAGAATGGTTGAAGAGCGAGGAAGTGTACGAAAGCCGCGACAAGGTAGTCGAGTGTGTGTGCCTCGAACAGTTCTTTCGTAGCATTCCGCAGTCAGTCAAGCTCTGGGTGCAGGATAGGGTGGGAGTCGACTCTGTCGAAAGGGCCGCTGAGCTAGCCGAAGAGTACGCGACGCGTAGAAAGCTGAGCGGAGAGGAAAGCGAACCAGGCCGGAGCGATCGCGCTGTACGTAAGCCCTTCCAACACCAACAGGGAAACGGCTCGCGAGATAAAAAGTCCGAGAAGCCCGAAACAGAAAAAAAGGTCCCCGAAAAGAAAGCAGATCACTCGAACGGAGACGAGGCGCAGAAAAACCAAAGAAAGCAGTTCGAGGCAAGGAAGCCGCTCCTGTGCTACAACTGTCAGGAGCCGGGGCACATAGCGGCCAGATGTAACAAACCGCGGGTTGTGTTCTCGTACGTGAACGGTAGTGACGAGAACCTGAAGCTTCTTCGTCCCTATCTTCACGAGCTCCAGGTAAACGGAAAGCCGTGCAGGGTGCTTAGGGACAGTGCAGCGACGATGGACGTTGTTCATCCGTCGTATGTAACTGCATCCGACTTTACTGGAGAGGTAGCTTGGATCAAGCAGGTGCTCGAAGAGCACAGTGTCTGTCTGCCTATGGCGAGAGTAAAGATAACTGGCCCGTTCGGAGAACTAGTGACAGAGGCGGCTGTCTCGCAAACAGTCCCGTCGGAGTATCCCTATTTGTTCTCTAACCGGTCAGATTTCTTGCTGCGCGAAAGGGGTCAACAGCTGGGAGAAGGACTGGTTCAGGCGTTGACGAGGTCCAAATCGCGTCAGCTTGCCCCTTTGTTGACCAGTAAGCCAGAGCCAGAAGCAGCTAACGGGGAGCAAGCACTTTCAGAGTTGGAGGCAGAGAAACGGGATGAGGGGGACCAGGTTGTAGAACAGCCCGACCTCGTAGCACCAGAAAGCGTACGAGGCCCCAACGCGTCGGCGCAGGAGGCGGAGGAAGACGGGGTCGTTGAGGGGTCTCTCTTAGCTCCGACCTCACGTAATTTTGATCGTCTGTTGCGGGTGGACAGAGCGTCTCTGACAGCCGAGCAGAAGAGCGACCCTAGCCTGTCAAGATTGCACGATACAGCCAAGGAGGGTATTGCTAGGGCCAATGTAACGGTGCATGAAAAAGACGGATTGTTGTATCGGCACTACAAAGACCGCAAAGGTAGGGTCTTAGATCAGTTGGTTGTTCCGACAAAGTACCGTGATGACCTTCTGAGTCTTTGCCACGGAAATTGCTGGTCAGGTCATCTAGGTGTGAACAAAACGAAAGAAAGGTTGCTGGGAGAGTATTACTGGCCGGGGTGCTTCAAAGACGTAGAGCGCTACGTAAAGTCGTGTGATGCATGCCAGCGAGTCGGGAAACCGGGAGAGAAATGGAAAGCTCCATTAAAACTCGTCCCGCTGATCTCGGAGCCATTTCGTCGACTTGTGATCGACACAGTTGGCCCATTGCCCAGAACTAAGTCAGGCTATAAGTACCTGCTCACCATGATCTGCCCGGCAACCAAATTTCCAGAAGCGATTCCTCTGAAGGAACTCAGCTCGTCGGAGATAGTCGACGCTCTGTTGACGGTTTTCGCGCGGATCGGATTTCCCGCGGAAATTCAGGCTGACCAGGGCACAGTTTTCACAAGCGCATTAACGACCACGTTTTTGCAGAGGTGTGGGGTGAGGCTGATACACAGTTCCGTGTATCACCCTCAGTCTAACAGCGTGGAGAAATGGCACTCTGTGCTCAAGAGAGTGTTACGCGCGTTGTGTCACGAACACAACGAGGACTGGGAAAGCTGTCTCCCAGCAACTATGTTCGCTCTGAGAACTGTGCCTCATGAAGCCACTGGTTTCACGCCGGCCGAGTTGGTCTACGGGAGAGCCCTTCGCTCTCCGCTTCGAATGCTGAGAGAAATGTGGGAAGGGACGGGAGAAAACCAAACGGTTGTAGACTATGTGTTGGAGTTGCTGGAACGGCTAAGTGTTACGCGTGAACTAGTGGACAAAAACATGAAAGCGGCTCAAGAAACCGCTAAAGTGTACTATGACAGGAACGCACGACTCCGAACCTTTGAGGTTGGTGATCGTGTAATGATTCTTAGAACGGCGCGAAAGAACAAACTTGAAGTTCACTGGGAGGGGCCCGTAGAGGTCATTGACAAGCTGTCGCAAACTAACTATGCGCTGAAAATGCCCGGACATCGAAAACAAGTGAAAATCTATCACTGCAACCTGATGAAACCGTTCGTTGAAAGACAGGGTGTCGTTAACCTAACGTTAAACATGCCCGAGGAGCTACCTACCGAAATTCCAGAATGGAACGGAATCAGCCCAGGCGCTGAAAGCAGTGTGGATGAAATCATGGCACGTTGCGTGAACGCAGAGCTTCTTGACCAAGCGCAGGTAGATGATCTAAAAGTACTCTTAAACGAGTTTAGCGACACTTTCAGTGATCGACCGGGAAGGACAGACCTCATGACTCATGAGATAGAGCTCATTTCAACCGAGCCAGTCAGGTCCAAGGCGTACAGGGTGTCGCCTCGTCAGAAGGAGATCATCGAGGCTGAGATAAAGCACATGCTGGATCTTGGGGTAATCGAGCCCGCCGAAAGCGACTACGCGTCGCCCTTGATTCTCGTCGAGGCTCCCGGTAAAGACCCCCGGCCGTGTGTGGATTACAGGAAGCTAAACGCAATCACAAAGGACCAGCTATATCCTATTCCTAACATTGAGGAGAGGTTAGAAAGGGTAAGCGCCGCGAGGTACATTTCGACACTCGATCTCGTACGCGGTTATTGGCAGGTTCCTATGTCGGAAAGTGCGAGCCGGTACGCCGCGTTCATTTCTCCGGTGGGGACTTTCCGGCCTCTCGTACTGAGCTTCGGGCTCAAGAACGCGCCATTCAGCTTCTCGAAATTGATGGACAAAGTCCTGAAAGGTATGGACGGTTTTGCGCTCCCTTATTTAGATGATGTCGCGATATTTTCCGACACGTGGGAGGAGCATATCGTCCACCTAAGAAGCGTGTTCACTAGGTTGCGTGACGCGGGGCTAACCATGAAGGCCAAAAAGTGCAATCTTGGTTGTTCCCATGTGAGTTACCTGGGTCATGTTGTTGGCCAGGGAACGAGGCGGCCTTCGGAGCTCAAGATTGCTCCGATTGCCGACTTTCCGACACCCCGGACAAAGACTGACATTCGCTCGTTCCTGGGACTCGTCGGGTATTACCAGCGCTACATACCCAACTATTCCCAGGTAGCAAGCCCCTTGACTGATGCACTCCGAAAGGGAGAGCCGGGTAACGTAGTTTGGGACGCGGCGAAGGAAAGCGCGTTTCAAAGTTTAAAGGGGGCGCTGATTTCCGGTCCCGTGCTTCGTGCACCAGATTACGACAAAGAGTTCATAGTGCAATGTGACGCTAGTGACAGAGGGCTGGGGGTGGTGTTAAGTCAGCTGGGAGATGACCAGGAAGAACATCCAATTTTGTACGCTAGTCGTAAACTAACCGTGAGAGAGGAGGCTTACTGCGCCTCTGAAAAGGAGTGCGCTTGTTTGGTGTGGGCGGCACAGAAGTTGTCGTGCTACCTGTATGGGGCGAAGTTCACCTTCGAGACCGATCATTGTCCCCTTACGTGGCTTCGCCAAATGTCGCCCAAAAATGGCCGCTTGCTCCGATGGAGTCTCACTCTCCAGCAATATAACTTCAGCGTCAGGTACAAGAAAGGTAAATTGAACGGCAATGCCGATGGGTTGAGCAGATTTTTCTGATATCACCAAAAACAGTAGGGATATGATCTCAGAGGTTTTCGTCATCCACGGGAATGAGGATCAAAGTGGGGACACTTCGTTAAAACCCCAAAATGACCTCACAAATTGCGAAGTTTTGTCTTTTTGTATTTTGTTCATAGTGACCTCTTTGGAAAAATGAGTTGCTTTGGCGACAGCGGGTCTCGATACCCGAAGTTGTCCTAAGGTTTTAAATTGCATTGTTTTGGCAAATTTTGGTAATCCGTAATCCAGTCTGGCGGGTCTCTGGCGGATTCCGAGCGTTTGACTGCGGTGTGGCGTGGTGTTGTGGGGGACGTTTCCGCTAATGCCTCCGTTGTGAGAGGTTTGGGAGTTTGCTTAGTGCTTGCAGCATCTTCTCAAGGCCTACTCCAAGCCCACCTCTTCAGGCCAGCGATAGTACCACCGGCCATTCGAGGTTTCCCTGGCCCCGGAGGGGCTGTTAAGAATGGAACCTTCGGCGACCTTCTTCCGAGTTTCAACGCTGCGGAAACAAGTCAAGACGAGTCCGGGACCGTCGCCCGCTTGTCGGGACCGTCGCCCGCTTGTCGGGGCCTGCGCGAAACGAGTCCCGACGAGTCCGGGACCGTCGCCTGCGTGACGGGGCCTGCGGCAACAAGTCTCAACGCGCCCGTGACGTTGGCGGGACGTGTGTGTGTGTGCGTGGTGGTTGGTGCGCTCGGGAAAGGGAGAGAGGCATGGCCTAACTGCTGAGACCTTTGGCTACGTCACACTGGACGACGGGTTGCTGCATCGCACGGGCTGCCCTGGCAAGGAGTGAGGGAGAAACGGACCCTATATAAGGCGGAGCGCGAGGCTGCTCCGTTGTTCTCTCTTGGATTTGACGACTGTATCGCTACCATGTAATTAAACCGTTCATTACGTTACCAAGTCTCCCACCTCCACTGAACCCCTGGGTTCTTCACTTCGGGGATTGGACGTCGTCACGAGACAGGAAGCCTCCGGACGTGCGGCCTAAACCCCGCCTCGAACAACGGGCAGAAGCTGAGCGAGAGAAGGAGACGAGAGGGCGAGGGGTTGTCAGAACGTCCAGCTCTGGTTGGAATGATCACTGGCTAGACTCAAAGCCTTTGTCTCCACTGCTCTCGTCGAACGCGCTCGAATGCGAAAGCAAAACGCCGGATGCCGGCGTTTAACGTTCCAACGCGTTCCACGAGTGCAGTGGAGACAAAGGCAGCTGGCTTTGAGTCTAGCCAGTGATCATTCCAACCAGAGCTGGACGTTTGGACAACCCTGCGCCCTCTCATCTCCTCCTCTCCCACGGTTTCTGCCCGTATAGGATCCCTACGCAACGCCCACCTATGCTGAAATGATAAATGGTGATAAATATTTGGTAGGTGATCTTTCAGGGGTGGGCGTTCATTCGAGGTCTTACGTTTACATATGCCCCAACTAAAGAAGTGCGTCTGCCCTCGCGACACACTGCGCATGCGCGAGAGTCTCTTTTTGATAAGGGGAAATAATCTCCACATGCCCCGTTCCATGCTAGCGCCACCGCCTTCGATAGTGTCACAGACGTAAATGAGGAAACCCTCTACGGGCCTCTATTGTTCGTTTTCGTCCGAACGCGTCACGTCGCAATGTAACGTGACGTCAAAGTGTCACGTGACCCGAGATATAATGACGTCGGGTCACGTGATATCAATTTTCCTGCGCTAAATTTAGCGAGGAAATCATTACGGTGTCACGTGATACCGCGATGTAACATGGCGTGATCACGTGACACCGTAGTGTCAAGTAACAGTGTCGCACGATGTCGCGCTGCTCGTTAAAAACCCAATCAATTGCTACCGCACCTTTATTGCATCCGGCTAAATGTCTAAGCCAGGCTGTTGTTTTCCTCGAGGTCATGAAGATGGAATTGGACGCTGCGAAGCAGGCAGCCGGGACATTGAAGGGTTGCGTGCGAGAGCTGGGCAGCAGGATTTGCACGCCCTGGCCGTACAACCGGAGGCTCATCCCGGACGAGCAGGAGTTTCATAACGCGGAATTTTACCGACAGCGAGAGGGGGCGTAAGTACATACTAGATGCTAGAGCAACTAGCTATATAGTTACTGTTGTTCATGCGAAGGACAACTGCTCAAAACCAATCTAATTTTTTTTTAATTGTTCATGGCCGTTTTTATGCTAAAGTGGCCCCACAATGAATATGGTGCAGGTAAAAAGTCAACACTGAAATTTACCTCATGTTTTATGAGCAGTGGAAATTGCTGTTTTCAACAAATTCACGGTATGTTGGGAGCCTATACGCAAATTAACTCTGCAAAAACGAGCAATATCGTACTCTCTCTGGCACATTATGTATACTAGCGAAGCACCCGGTCATTCGGCTGCGAATGAGGTTCATGCCGCCTCTCCAAGCTCGCCCACCAGAATCTGAACAAAGGCGCTAGGTGCTGCCTGGGGTCATACGTTTTTGATGCTCTTGAATTCGAATTTTTTTCATGACGTCCTCAACTCGACTTATTTTTGTTTTGAATTACACTTCATGCGTGCAGGTTCTTGATAACTGACCAGGAGACGTTCTTTACACCAGCGATGCGAAGTCGTATTGTCTGGGAAGTGCTGACGCAGACAGCGTACGACGAACAAGGCCGCGAAAAAGGTACGCCCACTTTTGTCACTGCAGAGGTGACCCCGCGCATGTAGACTTTATAGTCACTGGAGACTTTCACTAGACCGCATTCTATAGCTACGCTTCGCTGCCGTGAGCTGTTGCCGTCACTTCGAAGCATGGATTAAGCACGCGCCCCATGTGCCCGCTCGCCGTAGCGTATACGGTGTATACCATAGCCTCTTCTATGCTCACAAAGCCTGACACTTCGACGACGGAGCCATAGAGTGCCCGGTCACAGATTAGGAGCATGATGATTTGGTAGCACAGAGCATCAAAGATCCATTTCTCGTGAAACGTGGAAGTCAGCCACAGTTTTTGCAGCGGCGAAGACCCCAAACACACTTGTTCGCTCGGGAGAAGTATGTTCGGCGTCTCGCCGCAGCGGGGCGCCAGTCACGTGGCTCCCATCTCATCCGTTGTCTGCCCGTCCACCTTTTCCATTTCGGCGGCCGCTTCTCGTGGCGATCTCCCAGGCTTTGTCAGTAGGCTATGAGTATATTAAACCTCTCTACTGACATAGTGAGAACTGCAGGGCGTCTCTTTCGAACGCCTTCAGCACGCGCTCATTGCCTTCCATCGTGCTTTGGCTGCGCGTGCACGCTCGAGACTCACGAGGCGTCCAAGCGTTGTCGAAGGTACATAGGAAGCTCGCGCTAGAGGCGGAACAACTGAAGCTCTCTCCTGCCGTTCTTATCCTGTCAGTGACTGTAGTTACGCAATTAAATGGACTGCTGCTCGCGCTTCAAGATGTCTTATCTAGGAATTTCGCAAACACTTGTCGAACCCGAGGTTCAAGTCGTTTGGCGCACCTTCGAAATTTTGTCGAAATTGAACGAAGCTTGACTTTTTCAACAGCGTTATCTAACTTCTACAAAAAAAATTGAAAAAAAAACTTTTTTATAGAACGGCCATTTTTAAATTTTAGAAAATAGATTCCGATGACCCACACAGTAGCGATGCTAACATATAAGTTCCTCGTAATTTAGTTAGTTTGTAAAATGTTTCACCTATTCTTTGCTAGCTGGTGCCAGCTCGTTCTTAATTTAGACATATGCGCATAATAGTTCAACCTTCGTCAAACATTTCTCGAACTTCCAGTCGAAAGTTCGAAAAAGACGAACCCGGTCAATCTCGAACAAGGACTGGTTCGAGACATCCCGAGTCTTTTCATTCTACGAATAGTTTTATCAAAGGGTAAAAACGTAATATCTGATTATTCGCTTGGCTCGAAGAACGCGGTCAGACTCAAATAATAATAATTATGATATAATGATTATTTATTTTCTATCATATGTATGACTGAAAGAAATTGAAAAATATGGGTCACCGACTCACCATACAACTTGACAGCCACCCCCCCCCCCCCCCCCCCCCCGGGCCCCTCACACACACACATTACAATAGATTTGAGTGTTTTTTCTTCATTTTCAGAAGCTTATAGTTCTTTTTTCCTTATATAAAAACACACCTTTTAGGTTATAGTTACATTTTCTGAGTAAACTATAAACCAGAAATCGAATTTAGACTAATGATCACAACAAGCTTATTGACCCCGCCACGGGAATATTCGTGGCTGGTGGTTGGTCGCAAGTGCTGTAAGTCAAGGCGCTCAAAGTCATCGAAAGCATTTTGGCCAATGACGCACCCTAATTTTCGCTTATCCTGTTTTCTGCTTTGCCAATTAATGACCGAACTCCTTTCATATACGGCTCTGACCCCCTGTTGTTTCAAACGTCATATAGAGTTTAGTTTCAAAACTATGTATTGCACAAAGCACGGTGAAGCCGGACTCGTGCCCGTTACTTGAAAAATGTTATAAATAACAATTCCAAATTACCGAAACTCAATTGTAATGGATTATCGTTACAAATTACTTTCGCTTAAAAGTAACGCGTTACTTTACTCGTTACGTTACAAAATACTTCCACGTTACTTTTCCCGTATACTAATCAAGGACTGGATAAAAAGAACAATTTGGTGTTTTCAAAAATGTTCTGCAACACTATAAAAATAAACATCGTTTTAGCTTAAAGGGGTCATGAAACGATATCGAGTTGGAATGTTCATGACTTTGCAGAGGCGTATACTGGTCCTAGTCTGGCCCAAGTATACTCGCACTGACTGTCACTGATACAGAAGCTTCTTTGTCGCGGTGAAATTGCGAGGATAAAAGGGAATATTCTTTTTCATTCTTGCCTCCGCAAAGCTTGATGACGTAATTATGAGATAGAAGCCACCCGCCCGGCGGCGTTCGAGCGCGGCTCAAGGACTAGACACGAGAACTGCGTGAGCACACGACTTCGGCTCGTAACAAAAAATGCCTCGGCGGAAACTCGGGTAGTGATTCGTGCTCAACCGCTGCAATTAGTAGAATTGCCAAACTCAAACAATGCCTGGAGCTGAGCACGCGTTTTCTGCTTTGCCAACCCCAGCGCCTGGCTATGGTTAACTTTGACAGTATGGGACAGGCACCAGGCCACGTGGCCGCTTGTTCTGGCTCCGAGTTGAGGGGATGA